ATGAAACATGTAGCAGTATTTCTGACACTTCTGCCTGTTTATTAATGGTTGATGCTAAGTGAGCATACAGGACAGAATAGGAGCTGCTTTCTCCAGATACTGGCTAGCATTAGTTCCTTTGGACTGTAAGTTTATGATACAGTGGGTGGCAAAATTTTCTAGATGCTATGACTCCATGGGAGTAGATGGTAGACTAGTTAATGAATTTCTCTTTTCCTTATCATTTTAGTGCAAATCTGTAGGCTGGAGTATAACTTTATAGCATTATAAATCCATTTAAATTATAATTATCAATGGCTGGTTCTATCTACTTTTCTCTAATATGCTTAACAATATGATCCATGGACTGAAGATCTTAAAATAAAAATAATATGTTGGGTTCAATCCTCAGGATAAAAGGTTCAGTAGATTTGCTACAGCTGATTTTCTTTAAGTTCCTGTCATTTACTAAATTCCTTAGAACTGAGACTTTTCATGCTGTATAGGAAACTTTAGAATGATTTCCTGGATGTAATACAGCAAGTCAATTATAAAAATTCATTCTTTTTAGGTGATTTGCTACTGGCTGCTTATTGATCTTTGATGAAAAAGTATTATGAAAGGAAATTTATGTGCCCATAAACTTGATGGCAATAGTGATAAACAGGATTTGCATGCAGGCTTAGCTACTGCTTGCATTCCCAGCAGAGAGGTTATATTGCTTCCCTCCCTGTGACTAGAAGTGAGAAATAGTGGTCTAACTTTTAGATTCATGAATTTGGTGTAGGTGTGCATGTGTGCAAGCATGGAATATACTCATCACATGGTAAATTAGAGATATTTACCTCTTTCATTTACATCTCGGGTAGATCAGGCCCAGCTCAGATTCTATGCTGCTGACACACTTTCCATACAGGAAGTGTTCCCCTCTTTTTCAGGTTTTTCACATTATTTCTGCTGGAGGAATATCTCCAAGGGGGGGCAGCATCCTTTCTCAGTTTTTCAGAGTGGGGAAAGTGGTTTGTACCTGTTTAGTTTATTCTGGTATTAATTATATACTGTGAATATAGTACCATGAATTGAATATTCCCTGAATGTTTGCTTTGGTACTACTGACAGATAGGGATGAGTTGTTGGATGCTAGAGTAGGAGTAGATGTCACTTTGAGAGCTCCCCACTGGCATGGAGAGATTGTCAGACTTTTCTGCAGAACCCTTTGGTGCAAGGCCTGTGGGGCTCAGCCATACACAGCATGCTGTCAGCAGGGACTACCATTTTTTGCCAAGGTTTAAGGTAGAATTCACATGAAAATTGGTGACTTGTAATAACCTTGTGATCCATCCTCAAGGTGTTAATCTTCCCCACAGTACATTAAACAGTCAATTTGATCTGTGCATCAATCTCCCACAAAATGATGGGGAAAACAATATCATAGTAAGATAGCCCAACAAAATAATTAATATGCAGTATTAAATCTCTCATAAATGGACAGTGAGGAAAAGAAAGCTCAGTCATTACATCGGATTTAATTTGCTGAGGGAAACAGCCTTCACACCTGAGCCACAGTCACAGCTTGCTTTTCTCTCAATTAAATCCATGCTTGTCTAAAGCAATGAGGGTTTGGAGGACGAGATCAGGGCGCATGCTAATGAAATTCCCTGCAGAACAAGGACATTATGCAGAAACTGTTACAAGGCATAGACCACATAATCTGTTTTAAAATTCTCTAAAGAAATGAATACAAAAGCTTGATGATCATTAGATATAGACCATGCTATTAATAATGAGAACTATTTTTTCAAAGTAAAATTCTATGGATATTCTAAGTTTTTGCTATAGGGTATTGCTTTTCAAGAGTACTTATCACAAGATTTATATTTTTACACCTACCCATTTAGAATCTAAACAAAAAGTTGTTGCTTAGTCCCCTCCAGATCCATTTAGAATTCTTCCCTTCATAAACTATGTTGTTGGCCAAATCAAACTATAGCACTATGATCTACTGCAATACTGCTCTAATTAGGTTTTCTTGCCAGACTGTTAGAATTTCTGGCAGTACCACATAGCTCCCAGAGAACCTCTAAGTTGGGGCTTCCAGAAAGTTGCAAGTAGTTACTGTGAAGGATTGCTTTTCCTTTACTGAAAACCATGTCTTAGAAAGATGATGAGCAATTGCATTCAAAAAGACTTTGAGGTATGCCAAATGCAGAATGTTGTGCCGTTTTTTCCTTTCTCAAACATGGCAAAGATTTTTTCAGGAAGTTTTTCAAGGTTCTTCATCTGTATAGATGTATAAGCAAGTACACCTGTTAAATAGTTCTCCACCATATGCATATACATTCACAAATTCCTTCCCCAAGTCTAGAATAGAATTTTAACTGTTTCAAGTCATTCCTAACTAATCCTTTCCTTTAATTCTATAGGGCATTTTTTGGCTTCTGTTCATAGCTCTCAAGAGAATTAAATAAAAGAAAATTCAAGGAGCTTAAGAAGTTTGTTAAAACTAACTCTTTCACATTTGATAATGCTTTCATTTGCCTTCAAAATATTAATTCTGAGGGTATTTGTTTTTTTTTTTTTCATTTTTCTTCCCCTGTTCCAAAGTCATCAATCCCCAAATTTGGCATTGGAGAAATCCAACATTGCAAGTTTACAACTCTAGGAATCCTGTGCTATTCTGACTAGCTTCAATCTGCATAGTTTATTTAAATATAATAACATAACTGTTAATTGTGTAAAATAACTGTGATTGGCAACAGGAAGCCCATTTTCAGAATTTGTTTCTTTGGAAAATTCTGAATTAAAAATACTGGACATGAAAAGAGAGGGTCTAAGAAATCAATTAGTTTCTCTCTTTCCTTTCCTGCTTATCCCTAGGCTCGTCTTGGATGGCCTATTTCCCCTCTATCTCAGGGCAATTTGTCAGCTATACAGCTATTTTTATCATATTCTTAATTTGATCCAACTTGTGTCATATGTCACATTTATGTCATTGCTATTTTTTGTCTAGTCTTGCTGTTTATACATGACAAAAAACTTCCTAGCTGAGCCTAATCAATGGGCTCCTATCCCAAAATTGTAAGCTGAATTTAAAATAGTGAGCTGAATTTGAAACAGGAAACAAAACTCTTAAGAAAGGATTAAAAAAACCCCCAAACCAAACAACCCAACAAAAACATCACCATATGTTGGTAGCCACTTAGGACTGCATCTTTTGAACACGCTGAGGTACCTCTGCCAGGAACAGCGCTTAACTAGGCTATTTGGAGGTTTGCTATTTAATAATTTATGAAAATCCCCCAACTAGTAATTTCCACTTTGGTGTGGCTTAATGATTTTTTGGGGGTGTTTTTGAACAGTTTCTCTCTTGGTAAGGTTTTTATTTTTGGGTTTTTTTTTTTTTGTGTTCTGACCTTCTCTGGTTTGTGTAATCTGATGAGTCATCAGGATTTGGACACTGTTTATGTGACTTTATTTGCATAAAAAGCCCAAAGCAGCTTTCACAGAAGAGAAGAATATCCTCAGTTTTAAGGTACACGTGAGACTCATGGAGTCCACACAGGGCCATGTGTTAAACATCTGAGAGCATTTTCTGAAGTTGCTGAGCACCAAAAGGCTTGGCCACCTCCCAGAGGAGCCTGTTCCAGCGCCCAGCCTCCCTCATGCCTCTTTCACACTGACTTTTCTGGATGTTTTGTATTCTTCTGAAAGTTTTTTCTGGATGTTTTGTATTCTTCTGAAAGTCTTTTTTTGGTTCAAAGACATAATCCCACCATTGAAAATTCATGTTGGCAGAAGAAAATTGAAAATTATAAATTCTTCAAACTGTGAAATGTGTACAAGTCAGACTCAGAATGTTTATAAAGCCAACCCCATTTTTGGCATATCATGTTTATGCCACTTCCGTGGAATTGCCTTGAATCTCCTAGCACTATTGATAAGAATTCTCAGTATGACCTGAAAACAAATCTGTGTGGAATAAATAAGTAACACTCCCAGAGGTCCTGTGAATTCTGAGATTGATGGATATGTCAATAACCAATGCATGACTCTGCAGATTTAAATATACAAAAATAAGCAGAGTAAGAGATGTGAGGAAATTGGCAAAAAATAGCTATTTTAAAAAAGGTCTTAGATGATGAAACACTTATAGTGTAAATGGATTTAATGATTAAAGTTAAAAAGCAAGAAGTGAATTAACTTCTTTTCACCTCAAACTACAAAATAAGACTCAGGTACAATCTCCCTACGTCAGAATATGAAAAACTAAAACAAGAATTGGTCTGTAAAGGATTTTGCTCTTGCACATAAATCCAGAGAAAAGAATGAAGAAAACCCCCACATCAAGCACTAAAAATTATCCTAGAAATAAAGGGATAATAAAAATGTGTTATGGAGGGAAACTTGGCAGTGTGACTGGAACTCTAACCAGTATTAGTGAACAACAGATCAGTGCAAAATGTTTTCATGTTAGAATTTGGCATTAAAGGGTTGGCATGTTTTGTTGTGGTCTGCTTTTCACTTTTTATGAAAAATGTTGTAATAATGCAAATCATTATTTTTTAATTCACTCTGATCAGAATTACCCCTAAGGGGATGTGAGAACCAGAAATAGTGCTTTATAAATGTTCAGGTTTGGGTTTCATTAGCATCATCTAACCATGGCAGACACATGAAATTGTGGAATAAAGAATTAGTAAAAAATGGTAATGTGGGTGCATAAATGATGGAAGCAAGTTTTCTGTGTGCTCAATCAATGGAACCTTTGGTTAAGGATCTGAAAAAGGGTGTGATAATGATCTTTGTGAGCATAACAATATTTTCAAAATTCTCCAAGACTTCGTTCTGGTTTTCCTTCCTAAAACTTAAAGCATGGCTAATTTATTTATTTTTTTACTAACTAAATAAATAAAATGCATGGCACATATGACATGAGTGAAGTTTTTTCATATTATGGCCAAATAAATTTCATATGTTTTTAAGGGGAAAAAAAGAAAACAAAAATGTTAAGAGTTACTACAGTTTAATTTCCAAAAAAATGAACCAAAAGATTGCCTTTCTTTTCCCTTGTGGATTTGCAAGGGCAGCTGTCCTCCAACCTTTCTCCTTCTGTAAAAGAAATCCAAGAAGGTGACATGTAAGCTGGTAATTAAATCTGCTTCACACTGTGTGGTTCAAAATGCAAAGGTAAAGCAGAACAGAGAGAGAAGAGCTCTCTGCTGCACCTATTGAGCTGCAGAGATTTAGCTTCTTTTTGAGCATCCTGTTATCTCAAAGGAAGGACTCCTTCACAGAAAAACTCAAGTGAAATCCCAGTAATCACAAATGCCCAGTGGTTTATAAACAAGCTGTTATAATGGGACTAAAAAGTCATGCAAGACAAAACAAGTTTCTGGTTGGGATGGAAAACAATCTTCATGCTCACACAAAAAGGCAGTTCAGAGTGCATTCACTCAGTTGTGACTGGTCATGTTTTCCTATTACTATTATGACATGAACATTTAAGTATGATGGAATGCAATGGGAAGAGTTTTTGAGATTATTGGAACCCCCTGGCTCCCTGTGTGCAGCAGGGGCCCATGTCAATCTGTTCCCATGAGGAGGGCCCCAGGGCTGAGGCCCTGATGACCTGGGACACCTTGTGGGATGCTTGATATGGAAGAATCTTCTCAAAGAAGAAGAGATAGAGTTTAGACTAAAGAAATTATGTGACAGCAAATGTCCCCATAGTAGTCTGAAAATGTTGGCATGTTTTTCAAATGATACATCACCATTGCAAACTGGAAACTGGCTGTTTAGTAAGAAAAGTTGTACTCTGATAGTTAGGACTGAGGTACAAGAATTAGAGCTTTGTATCTTTATATTTTATCTGTATATTTCTCATGGATACTGAGGGAGGAATGGAAGCAGGTAACTGAGGATAAGTTAATCAGGACACACCATGACATGCACCAAGGTTTCTGTTGTACTAAGTGATGTGCCCTGGACTGGAAATTAAACTTGCTGTGTTACATGCATTATATAATGATATCACATACAGCACTTAATAGAGTTCAAGCACTAAATTAATTACACAGCCTTGACAGATATGTTGTTTTCAAATGCATGTCTGACTAGAGAGACGTGTTACTGTGCAAAGAGCAATGGGTACAGTGCCAGACATGGAATTAATTTCACAGGGGAATTCTGGCTGTGTAGACTGGATGCAAGCCTGAAGAAAAGGGTGTCAGAGTAACCAGAAACTGAGAGCACCAAACTCTGTCCAAAGCTACATGGAGAATGCAGTGAGCCTAGAAAGAGGGTGGCTCTTTTCTAAAGGATAGTGAGTCCCACCAGAACCATACTACATTTTCCAAAATAGTTTTCTGTATTTTGACTTTATAGGGATATGCAGTGATGACATAACAAAAGGGAAATTAAAGAGAACAGAAATCTGTCAAGTGATAAGTTGCACTATGTTGTAACTTGTTACAATATGGAAACTTACTTTTCATGGGTTTTGCTGTGGTTTTTCCAGTTCTTATGCAAGTCAGCATTGTTTGTTGATCTTGTTGTACCTTCTCAGTTTGAATTTCCCATGGGAGTTCATCTGATAGCTAGAACCTGGTTGAGAAAGACTTCAGTGATTAAGATTTGAAGTTGTCTTTTGTACTGCTGACCCCTAATATCCCTGGCTTTGGACTGTCAGTATCGAGAGAATAACTAAACTAGCACTTGTGATCAAATCAGCTGAAGATAAAGGCTGAAGACATAAAAACCCTGGTGGAACCACCACTGACATTTGGAGACAAATAGAATTGGTTCTGTGAAGGAGTAAAAGGAAAAGGGAAAGAATCCAGAGAGGCAGTAGTAAGGGGAAACCATAATATGATAGCATTTCAGATTTTAATTTCTTGGGCTGGAGCTATGGGATGACTAGCTGACCTATTAAAGAAAATGTGACTAAATTAGCATTTGAGATGGGCCTGATCTTTAGAGATATTTTCCATGTAAGGAGAGGGTTTAAAGAAAAATGAACAAACTAAAAAAGAGCCATATTTTCAGGTGTTAGGTATCTGAATTTCAAGATGTGTCCATTTGCAATGTAATACTTGCATAGTAATTTGCTAGAATGTAAGTAAAAAACCAAAACACTGCAATTATAAAGGTCTTTTTCTTCTTTTTAGATAAACTACCAGATGGGTTGTAGTAACTGTAATACTAAGAAATGTTTTTGGGGGCAAGAATCGGGCAGATGTCAGATATTTCACATGTAAAAACTTTTAAAGGTTTGGCCTTCATAAATTCTAGACAGGAGAAGATATCAGATTGGTTGTCAAGTATGTGTTAGTTACTGAATAGGGATAAAGCAGTGCTATATCTAGATATTTGGCTATAATCCAGTAAAATCTTATTTTGTCCAGATTTTTACTATATACTTGCTAAATTAATTTCTGTGAAAGCCACCAACTGGAAGGAGCAGTAGAGCAGTACATGGGGGAGGTATGCTACAGCATATGCTCTGGTTCTGCCCTTGAATAGAACAGTTCTGAAAACAAATTATATAATGTGTTGACAGAAAACTATAATCCCTGAGGTAAATTTGGCTTCGGAAAATATTCTCTAAGAATCATTTGACAGGTCCTTTGAGAACAACAATATGGTAAGAATGGTATCTGATGAGCGGTTAGCAGATTTGAATCTATCCAATCTTTTTTAAGAGATCTGAAGTATCCATGATTTATAGTGGGTATAAAGAAAATACTACAATATTTGCTTAATTTTGAAGGATTTTTTTTTCATCTACACGATTATGTTCTAACGCATTTGTTCTCGATTCTATATCTAGAAAAGGTGCAATTCTGCTAAGAGTCCTGCTGAGACTTTGGTCAAATTTAGCTCTCAGCTGAACCTCTAGAAATCCAGAACTGTTTTAGTTAGTAAGGTCTATGTGAACTTGTACAAAAATTCAGAGTCAGAAGAATCTGACTCAGTCAAGTATTACCAAGTGGTGTGTATTTTATAAATGACTGGTGTAAAACTTACAGTATTTTCACTGATGTAAGCTGGACATATAATAGAAGTGGAGGAGAGTGCATGATGCTGGGTCATGGCCCATGTTTCAATGGATTGTTTTCAGAGCTTATGTGAGACTGTTTTAAAGAGAGTGAAGTTTCAGCAAGGAAAGTTTAATACAGTTATTTTGGTACTGGCTAGATTCCACTGCAGTGAAAACTGAATAACCCTTCTTACATTTTAAGCCCCTTGTTAGTCATTGGAAGAATATTATGTACTACTATATTTACAAGAAACACCATTTAACTGCTGTTTGGTGTATGAGCCTGGGATTAAGAAGCTCATATGCTGGAGACCATTATCACCACAAAGTCACTGGCATGGCTCTGTCAGACCTGACACTTTAAACTTCACAGGGAAAATAGGAATTCATACATCAGGCAGTTTTGGGGGCTTCCTTTGTAGAGAGTCATTCGATCTGCTAGTGAGTTAATAAACTCCTAAGGGTATAGTGGAATTAGGGAATAATCACTACTGTTCTGCTGAGAAGGTGAGACAGTTTTGGACAAGGCCAAAGTATTGGTGGCTTAAGTTTGCTCCCAGAAACAGATGTGTGCTTTGCTGAAAATGAGCTCAGTGTTGATGTTTGTAGTGATACTTTGTGCCTTGAAACATGGGCAGCAAAGACACAAAGGTCAAAGGTTGCATTTCAGTGATAAAAGCTCTTCAAAAGCTTCATGGAAAAAACAACAGTTTACAGCACACCTTTTTTTCTGTTTTATTGATTGAGTTCTTACTTTTTCATACTATCACTGCATGATACCACTGTCTGGTCTTTGGTCATTCAGTGCATTAAATGGCAATTGAATATCACTGGGAAGCTTTTTGTTTAGGTAAAAGAGTGAAATATCATGGTTCACATGCAAGCTCTTGCATGGTTGAAATAAAGGGAGATCTTGACAGTCCTTGGGTCCATATTTTTAGTTTATCTGTACTTCCAAACTCAGTATTTAATGTATGGTTCAGAAATTTATTATTCCAAATAGATAGAATTTTGTTCTGTTATTGGAATTTAAATGCTCACAGAAAAAAACTTGACACCTCAAATACAGTCCAGCTTTGAAAGGAGTACAAAAGGATGAAGTTCCTTTTGCAATATTCACATATATCAGAAACCTAGGGTTGCAAGGAAAACTGTTCCTTCTTACATAGTCCATTAGGAGAGACATTTCTATTATTCCTATTTCAATTACTGTTTCACTAAAATATACCTCTAATTTCTTTTCCTCTTTTAATTTTATCCCAGCAGAAACAACTGTTATCCTCTCTGTGCCCTGCAAGGAGAGCAGAAGTTTTTGCTCTGGTGTTGCATGAAGGTTTCTCAATAGGAATTGTTAGGAGCTGTGAAACTGTGACACTTCCTCTGTGATATCCACGGATATCACAAAACTTTATTAGGGTACAGAAGGCTTGAGAAGATACTTTTGCCTGGGTATTGTGACTATGTCCAGCTGCCCTACTGAGACAGCAAGACTTTTCTTGCTTTGAGAAATGTATTCTGCGCTTTTGTACCAAGTAATGGAAAGGTTTTTTAAAGCTACTTCTACTTTCTCTCACTATTTTTTACTTACCTACAAAATCTTTCCACTCTGTACTTGTGAGGTCTTCTGTGACATTCATTTGGTCCTTGCAGTGAAATCTTTTACCTGCACAAATTCAAAGCAAGTCAGAGGCCACCTTGAGGAGCCCATGGTGGATGAATTTGCAGTATAACAGTATCATGCTCAGAATAATGATCTCTCTTCCACTTTCAATAGAAATCAGAGGTACTTCTCTGCAATGTAGAATTCTCATTCTGCTCACATTCTTTATTGATTTCCAGTGCTCGAATCTGATTTTATTGAAGTATCCTTCCCACCAACTGCAAAATGTCAACACAGCTTACAAAATTTTTCATCTTTTCTATGGCTGAATTCTATTCGATTAAATGTAAAGCGTCAGCAAACATTGAAACTCCAGAGTTTTCTGAAGGAAATAACGCAGTATAGGTTTTATAGTTTTTAAAATTTGTTTTCTTTTACTGTGTGAGGTTTTCATTCAAATGCAGGTGAGTAAAACAACTGTCATTAACAGGCAGCTTTTTCAGCAGCTGAAAATGACTGTGGAACTGCTGGGCATCATTTGTGGTTTAGAGTCACTCTTTAATAATTTTTTAGCCAAACTATATGACCTGACAATTTATGGGACTTCCAGGGATCAGAACATCAGATGTTACTAAACCACAGTTTGTGCTGGGACTGATTTTTGATCTGGTATATTTTGAGAGTATCTTGACCATGAGCTAAATCCTGCTGCCTTACCGATGATAACGAGTACTGATACTGTGTGTTGAACAGTGTTCAAGGAAAGAGACATTGCTTAGCATGAAGAAAGAGGGTAGGGTTATGCTTTAAAATATGAGTCATTCATTGCCATAGCAGGGAAAAACTGGATATCATTAAAAAGAAAATAAAAAAGGGATATTTTTAAGCTTTTTTTTTTTCTTTGTTGGGAGTAAAGGAGCAAAATAATCCTTGGAAATCTATTCAAAAACTAAAGTAAAAGTGTGTTAATATGACTGAATCTCACACAGTTCAGGTGTCTTGCTCCAGCAGCCCACAGTGCCTGTTGCAAGGATGTTTGAATGTTTGTTGGCAATTAGGGATATTCTGGCCAGTCCTGCTCAGTGGGTATGAAATGAAAAATTGTCCTGCTGAACCTCACTCTTCAGATGTCATTTTTACTTTTTTTTCTCTAGGGATCATGTATTTGAGTCCCAGCTCTAAAGCTATTCCTGCTTTCTGCCTTAGTGGACAGCCAAGTTCAAGTCATGCTATAATAAATCAGGTACTTAGAAAAGAATAAACAGGAAAGCTGAGTCAGAGCTCTTCTCTTGCGTAGCCCATAGGGTTTTTGTGCTTCAGGAAAACAACATCAGACCCACACACATTCCCCGCTGAGCACACTGACAAAGGGATGTCTCTGCCCAGAAGAAGGTGAGGCTAGAGATGCTACCTGCAGGGTTTACTGATCCAGTTTCTAGCTTTCTGTGCCACTTTCCTGGCCCTGTAAAGGGATTTTGAAAAGGATTGCATAGGCAGTGACTCAGACTTGTTGATTTAGAGTCACACTGAATCAGCCCATAGGAACTCGAGTGCAACATATATACTTTATCTGACCCACTTGAGAAGATCAGATTTAAAAGGGAGATGACTGAAATATAGCAAACAAGAGGAACAAAAAAAGATATGAAAGTCTGACCTGTACTAAATTTTTCAGTGCTTTTTCACTTAAATTGGTTCACTTTACATAATAGGTCAAAGGAGCTACATAAACTTTGGAAGAAAAGCTTGAATTTTAGCCTTTGTCTCCTAACCTGACATGAGACATAAGCTTTCTTTTATACCTTGCTCTCTTCTAGTGACAAACAGGACATCCTTTTTTTTTTCCTAATTACTTCATATCTGGGGTCTAATTCACTTGGTCAGATTTTATGACCCACTTAGACAAACAACATATAGTAATTTTATTTTCTTAGCTTTGTGATAAATTTTTAATTCCTCTGGACTTGATCATAAAAATGAGCGTGCATGAATAACCATTGAAAGGGTTTCTGTCACTGATACAGGCAATACATTTCCAAGCAACTGAAGGACTCTCTTCAGAGTTAGGGAAGAGAGACAGAGGATTGCCCCACTGCATCTGCTGCTGCAGGTAAAGAAAGGACTCATCATTTTATTCTATAGAATCTTTAAAATTATGAGAATTTGTGTGAATAGTGTAGACAGCTAACAATTAATCATGTCAGGTTAGGTGAGAGGAATCCCAGGCTGTGTTTCAAAAGGTTTGTTTGCTGTGGTGGCTCCTGAAAGAGCTTTTGCTCTGTTGGTGGCTCCCCTCCAGTCTGGGAGCTCGCAGCATCTCCCAACCTCTGCCCTGCAGGGTGTGTGCCTGGGCAGGCACTTGGATTCTCACAGATCAGCTCCCCTGACCACACACACAACTTGGATTTCTCACTTTGGAATTCTGTCTTCTTTTATCTTCTGTCAAGATTATTTCAAACTCTAATCCTGCTTGTCAATGTTACCTGCAGTCCCTCTTGGTTCTTTGTCAGTTATCTACTTATTTTACATCTGTCTCATAGTAATTTCACTTGCATCTTATTTCTGAAGCTTCCCTATGAGAATGTCATGCAAAACTGTCAAAAGCTTTACTAAACCCAAAGAACATGACACTTATTCCTTCTTTCCTGTTCACACAGTCTGTCTTGAAAGGAAGCTGGACAGATTTGATGCTTGCTCTTGACTTAACACACTTAACAGTGGCTGCTGTTAACTTCCCTGCTGCTGTCCCAGCACTCACAAGCAATTTTTAATAAGTGTTCCAGATTTTTTTTGTCCATTGAGCCAACTCACCTAAAATTACACAGTTTTTCTGTTTTCCTCTTTGGCTCCACTAAGAAGGAGGGTCATATATAAAACTATGGTTTATGGTGTAGAGGACCAGAAGTTTCTCAGTAAAATTCTGTTAAGTGAGAATTCAGATTTGTGAAAGCAAGCTGCTCAGGAGCAAGCTTTTGTTTTGGTGAAAGGTATGACTAAATTTGAATCTGAAGGAAATCCTATAAACCTTGTGTAAGCAATAGTGTCTTTGGTAAGAGGCTGTTTGGGAAGAAAAGATAATTTCATTTAGAAAGAGCTGTGTGATTTAGCACTAGTGAAACCAAGATCTAGGACTGTTGTTACAAACAATTTTGGTAACATATGAGACTGAATCAATTATTGCCTTGATGCAAGGTCAAACTTCTAATGTTTGCAAAAAAAAATAATATACCTAATTTTAGTAAATAATCTATATCTGAGGATATGCTTGGGCTTTTTAAATGTTGCCAGTAGAGAAAATGTCCTGTGGATTTTATTTTCTTCTGGCACTTTGTTTTCCCATTGGAAAGTACTGACTTAGAAATGTCAATTATTTGCACAATTTGTCAATAACATACTGAGGTAATAAAAATTAGAATATTAAAAAATTCTTTTGTTTCAGCAAGTTCAAAACACACTATTGCCCTCCTTTAATTTCAGAGTGAATCCTAAATATACATTTATGTACAATACATCCCACAGTACATTCAAGACTTATAAAATGCTTGACAGGAAAGAGTTATTATATTTGTTTAGCACAGAAAAGAGAGGTTGGAGGAAGAAGTTTTTGTAGTTTCTAAGAATCAAAAGGCTACAGAAAAGGCAGTGATTACCTCAGTTTTAAAGAAAGAAGATTTAGATCAAGTAAATATTAATTATATGGATATTTAAGAACCAAAAAATGCTACCTGTGGAGGCTGTGAAATGCCCTTAACGGCAGAATTTTAATTATAGGTTAGGAAAATATCTTGCATGGAGAGCATAGTTATACTTGACTTTGTATTAAGTTCTGGGGCATAAATGAGAGGACTTCATAAGGTTCTTTCAGGTCTTTTATTATTTTTGTAATAAATATCAAAGTGGTCACATCTGAATATTTTGAAAAAAATAAAGTGACTTAATATAATATATAACAATATAAAATGACCTTCAGCTTCTCAAATGGATTAATGTATTTTGCATCAGCCTGGGCAATCAATATTGTTTTGTCTGTGTCTATTATTTAACACCATAATTTAGGCTTCTAAAAGCTGTGATTAAAAGCATTCTTCCCACAAATAGATCTTGAAGTAATTGGCTGTCTTTGATAGAGTTTATCTAACCAAGACCACATGATTTCAGCTGTTCAGGGACACCTCATTGCATCTGGGATGAGGGGAATGGATCGTGTGTTTTACCAAAGCAAATGAACGCGATGCATTATTATTTCTTGTTTGCATGGCACCAAGAATGACCCAGGTGCTATTGAGGCAGGCAATAAAACAAAGGGGAATGAGCTCCAGACATAAATGGTGCTGTTCTGCACAAATGTGGATCCAGGCATAAGAAGGGAATGAGCTGAAAGAAAAGCAATAAGTAGCTTTTAGCCTGAAGACTCAGCAATTGTTGTGTGGAACCCATTATTGCTGTGATGCACCGGGGTGCAGGATGGCATTCCTGGCCTGAGCCTTGGGATCATTATGGAGGTGATGGCATTTCTGCAAAGCTGAGCATGTCTCCTCTGGAAGCAATACTTATTCCCCTTGAAGGTGGACCTAAAGGTACCAAAGAAGAGAATTTGCAGAATCATGCACACAGTGTATGTGTGACTAGACTTGTTCTGAGTAAAACAATCATGATTTTAATAGTCAGCGATTACAAAGACATTATGAAACCTGAACCCCTTCTTTATGACTGCCAAAACAGTTTTCAGCCGTATGTTATATAAAATCTTAGGGATAGAAATGCAAAATTGTCGTCAGCTGTAATTTCAGAAACTTTGCAATTGACAGTAACTGCTTTAAGAGAAAAAAAGCATCCTCATTAATGAACTCTGCTGTGAAAACTCATCTGCATGTAAAGCATAATTTTAAAGAGAATTAACATTTCTCACATAAAAAGAAGATTCTGGTGGCTTTAACAAGCAATGTCATTGGTTTATCCTTGTATCTAGGGGAATGTGAAAAAAAGTTCCATAGTTTCAGTTGATGCAACTTTGTTACTGCAACACTCAGGAGCTCCTGTTCTGTAAAGGTCATAAAATGAAAGC